TCGCTCCAAGCCCTGCCTCTCCAGCCCCGGTTTTGATTCTTTCTTGCTAGTGAGTGAAATGAAGCTTTTCCTCGTGGGGGGCGTGGGAGTGACGGCCTGTACCAGAGAGGGCACGGCACCTTGATGAGGCTCAGTGCGGGGCTCCGTTCCGTAAGGGCGGGGGCTTTCCTGGTCTCAGGGAAGGATTGCGCCGGCACAAGGGGATCTAAACCTGCCCTCCTTTAAAAAGAAAAGTTCTCAGATGTGCTGAACCCGAAGGGAAGCGGGGCTGTGATTTCAGGTGGCTGAGTGTGGGATGCGCAGGGTTTGGGGAGCCTGCGGCTAACGCCAGGAGTCGGCGTCCGAGTCCACGTGAATAAGTGTCCTGCTGACTCTCACGGCACACTGGCCAGAAGCCGCTTCCTTCTGACCCCCGGGACGCGGAGGGCCCGTCTTTTCTGGTGACTGTAGATTAACATTTTTATTTTTCATTTGAGAAATGCACCAGCACCTCCGTGTATTTTTTAAAATCAAGTTGTCAGGAGCTCTGGCCCCCCCCTTCCCAGACCCGCTCCCCGGAAGCAGCTGCTAGTAGTGAACTTTTTCTGGGTTTCACCTGCTGGTAGGTGCTGCCAGATACATATTAATGTTCTCATCCCGCTGATTATGTTACCAAAGTCAGACATGGCCTCCTGACCTCCCCCTCCCCCTCCTCACTCTGTCCATTTTTTGGTTCCTTTACTTTCACCTTTGGAACCTCCATTCGCATAATTACAAGTTCGTTTTCTTGTTCCTGACGTACTGCCTCTGTCGCTGCTTTTTGTAAGCAGGTGCCCGTCCGCCTTGCCTTTCCACGTGCCCCGCCCCCTGGCCTTCGCTGTGGGTGACATGTGACTTTGCCTAGCCTCTGTGCAGTGTGTGCCGGCGGACTCTGAAAGCGGACAGCGGAGGCCCCGCACCGTCACAAGCTTGTCGCCGCCGCTCAGCTTGGAGCGCGGTGTGCCCTGCGGGGCCCCCTCGCTCGGGAAGCCGTTCCCGGAGCCCGGGCCGGTGGGCTCCCCTCACCTCCGCCGACCGCTGCCCGCCGTGGCGTCTTTCCTGTCCCTGGTGATCGTTCCCGTGCCGTCGAGGGAAGGCCCGGGCCCCTCCCTGGCCTCCCCGTTCCTTCTCCGGGATGAGGCCCGTCAGCCGCCTCCTGTTCTGGCCCGGTCGTTCAGTCCATGCACGTGACCGTGTGTGTTCTCTGCGGGCTCCCCGGGGGGGGGCGGGGGGGCTTGCAAACACACCTTCCTCCTCCCGAGGGAGCGCGGGACAGAAACGCTGAGTCCTCCCGCGTCTCAGGTGACCCTCTTCTGCCCTCCCGGCTGGCTCACAGTTAGTTCTAGGGTCAAACTCGTTTGCGTGTGGAGCCTCCTTCCTGCCTCCCAGGGCCGTGAGCCAGCCACCCCGCCCCCCCCCCACGCCTGGAGCTTTTAGGGTCCTTGTTAATCGTCCAGTTCTTGAATGTTTTTTTCAACTTCTGGATTTTTACAACGTGTGTTTCTCTGTGGGATTTATAAAAACCTTAGGACACAGAGTCGATCTCTGCTGCTGTTTTCAAGTCTTCCTGCTCTTTACGCTGCAGAGTCCCTCACCTTTATCTTTTAACCCGTTTCTGATAGGAAGCCTGGGGGGCCAAAAATGAGTTTAATTTCTAGCGTTTTCTTTCATTGTCCCTTTTTCAGGGTTTTCTGTCGTCTTAAAGTTTTCTTTAGTTTTCTTTAGTTCCACTCCTGAGCGGGCCTCCTCTCCCCTCACTGGGGCCATGCGCTCGGCCACCCCTGCGGCTGCAGGACCTCCCCAGCGGCAGCGTCCACGGGAGCCCCGCGCGTGGGGCGGCCTCGGGCCGGCAGGGCCCGGACCCACTTTGCTGTAGGTCAGGACCGGGCCCCCCTGCCTGGCTGCTGCCTCAGGGCCTCCGTTTTGCCTCAGGTGCACGCGGGCGCCAAATCTCTGCCGCCCCGGCGCCCCACCTCCGGCAGAGCGGCCTTGCGGAAGGGGGTCGGCGCTGCTCGCTCCGTCCCAGAAGTCTGTTCCGCTGGGGCCCCTCTCTCTCCCTGCTCGCTTTGATGTGGTAGGTTTCTAGCTTTGTAAAAACTCCTTTACTGTTTCTAGAACAGCGCCCTGGGAGGGAGAGGGCCGGCCGCACGCTCTGAATTTAGGGCTCAGAAACTAGACCGTGGCCTTCTAGAGAGACGGTCGTGTGTCAGCGCCCGCCCAGCATGGTCAGGCGGCGAGGTTCTGAAAACAAAGCCGCCACAGAGAGTTTCCATCTGGAATGAGAAAATTGGCTTCCCGGGCCGTACAGCGCTCCGGAGATAGAAATTTTCTACGCGGTGCTTCTGTTGTTCGTCAGCCTCATTCTGAGGACCTTAGTCTCGCCTCTGCCCGGGCAGGGCCCTCCCTGATCTGATGAAGCCGTGGCTGTGGCTTCAAAGTCAAAGCCTGATTATTCTCCCCCTTGGAACAGCTTATTAAACATGAACTGTTGCCTCAGATTTTCAGAACCTGTTCTGTTAGAATGTTTGTCTCCCAGAACCTCAGGAAATTGTTTCTTAAAGGGACCTTCCAGGCCTCATGGGTTAGAAGATCTGCCCTGTGAAAGCCCGGAACACGAGCGTGAGCTCCTTCTAGCACACGCGTTTCTCCAGGACACAGGACCTGGCCTTGCGCTTTGTTGTTTCTTGAAGTGGTGTTCGCTCTACCTAGAGCTGATTTGTTACTGGCCCCCCGCTTTTGAACACGGGGAGGGGAGGGAGAGCATTCCCTGGGGGTTCTCAGGGACGCAGCAAGGCCACCCCTGGAAGGTGACCCAGGCTGGATTTCGATGGCCCTCTCGAATCCTCCAGCCTCTGATGTTTGTGGGGCTCTGTGCGTCTGTTAGGCTGTGACATCAGGGCCACGGTGAAGGGTAGAATGATAGCGTCGGTGGATTTCACACGAGGAGGGTATGTTTTTTATCCTGTCGTGTGTGGAGAAGGCCGGTTGTGAGAGCAGGTGCATGCTTCATTGCGTCCTGGGGAAGTTTGAAATTGAGACGCTTTTCTAGAACACGGTGGGGGGAAGCTGGGTAAGGACAGGAGAGCCAGCATCTCTGACTGAGCCCCCTCCCTGTGCTGTGGGAGTCCCCGCTGCTGGCTGTCTCTTCCCCTCTTCTGTCGTCTTCTGTGACTCTTAGGGAAATATTTGGGGAAAGTAAAGTCTCTGCATGCGGCCAAGGTTCAGCATCCCAGAGAGTCGTGGGTCGTACCCTTGGAGGCAGGGCTGTTTCCCTGCCCGTGCGTCCAGGAGAAGCCCGGTGTGCCATGGGGGCGCCTGGGTGGCTCAGTCGGTTAAGGTCCGACTCGGTTTTGGCTCAGGTCACGGTCACGCGGTTTGTGAGTTTGAGCCCCGCTGACTGCAGATCCTGCTCGGCATTCTCTCTCTCCCTCTCTTTCTGCCCCTTCCCGGCTTACACTCATGCACACGGCCTCTCTCTCAAAATAAATAAATAAACATTAAAAAAAGAGATGTAATATGAGCCGCGTACGCAGTGTTACTTTCCAGCAGCCCAAGTGAGAGCAATTTAAAATAATCTTTTATCTGTCAAGTTATGAGTTCAATGTGTAATCGACATAAAATATTATCAAAGAGATATTTTACCTCACTGTATGAAGTCTATGCGTACGGCCCATGTCAAACTGGTCTAGTCACAGTTCAGGTGCTGGGTAGCTGCTTGTGGCCTGTGGCTGGTGCACCACGTGGTGTGGCCCTGAGGCATTTAGGCGTCCGAGCGGTGGCCCGTCCATCAGGCCACATGGGTACCGTCTGCTCTTGGCCCGGAGGGACAGAAGCCAACGCCTTCCGGCCCCCGCAGAGCGCCAGGCGGGGTTTGGGGCAGTCTCTCTGCGGGGCCCCGTCCTTCCCGCAGCCCCACAGAGCGGGTGACGGTGTGCGCCTGCTCTACTGCCGACGACTTGTGGCCCGGACAGGCCAAGTGACTCGTGTGAAGCGGCCCTCCGTGGTGTGGGTGTGCGGAGGCCGGGCCCGGGATCCGAGCCCAGCTTTTCCCGGTGCCAGTGCGCGTTTTCCCCATGGACTGTGCAGCGCCCCGCAGCACGTTCGGAAGGGCCCCCGTGGGCTCCGTCCCGCGTCCCCGTGTTTCCGGGTGAGGCGAGACGGTCTCAGAGGAAGAAATGCTTCGTGGGGAGAACTGTGCCTGCGAATTCAGTACTTTGTTCTCAGGACAAGGGCTCCTTAAAACCTACCCAAACAGGGGCCCAGTTGGTTGAGCCTCTGACTCTTGATTTCATCTCAGGTCACGATCTAACGGCTCTAGGAATCCAGCCCCACATCGGGCTCTGCGCTGACAGCACGGAGCCGGCTGGGGTTTCTTTCCTTTTCTCTCTCAACACAAATCTAAAAACATCTAAAAACACCACACTCAACCAGAAGGGTATAAAGCAGAGAGGAAAGTCTCCATGACCCTGTCCTCAGAGTTAAGGGCAGTCAGGGTCCATCCTTCTAGTTTTTTTGGGGGGGTCCCTGTAAGTGCGTCATCTGTCCCTTCCCCCTCCAGAAACGGCACAGAAGGGTTCGTGTCGTGCTGCACCCACCACCCTCCCACTGAAGGGTGTGGTGGAAGTCATTCCGGGGCCGGGGGGTGGGGCAGTGAGGGAGCTGAGGCTTCAAGACGCTGGCTCACCAGGGCCCGAAGTGTCCCCACTCTAAGGGCTGACGACGGCCAGGGCTCGGCTGACAGCCCTCTTTCATCCCTGGCCAACCTCCTCTGACCTCCGGTGGCCTTTTCTCTCTCGTTTCCACGGCAAGTGCTTGTTCAGCAGAGTGTCTCCCTCGTCGGGTGCTCCCCTCTGGTGAGGCCGATGAAGGACGGGGGCCGGAGCCGTCCCGCTTCCCACTTGGGCTTCTAGTGTCTTCCCCGGGGGCCGGTTTATTGTCGGTGAGATGAAGCTTTCCTTGTAACGTCCCTTCCTTCCCTGTAGTTCCCAGTGACCTGACCGCAGAGGAGCGCCAGGAGCTGGACAACATCCGGCGGAGGAAGCAGGAGCTGCTGGCTGACATTCAGGTAGGCGGCCCCAGCAGTGACACGTGCCATGGCAGGCGTCCCTCCCGGAGCCTCCTCACGAGGCTTTGTGAGCGGACCCCAGCACGGCTCAGAGCTGAGCCTGGTTACTGACTGTCACCTTGGCTTCACCAGTGAGGAAATGGAACCTTCGAGGGGTTGGCAAAGCCACACAGCACCCCCGGGCTGGTCTGCCAGCCCAGCGAGGGGACCCCCAGGGGGGGCTCAGGTGCTTGGAACGCGGACTTCAGGTTAGACCAGGCCCACATCCCGTCCTGGCGCTGCCTCTTCCTGGCGGAGTGGTTTCAGACAGAAGGATTCGGGTTCTCTGAACTTGGGCTTTTTCATCTGTGAGCTAAGAATGACAGCGCGTGTTGAAGGGTTGAGTGAGGTCTTGTGGACACAGCACCTAGCGTGGCGGTGGGTCCCTCGCAGATGCTAAGGCCCCCACGGCTGCCTCACCAGAGGGTTTCTAAGCTCCTTTGCGTAACCGCCACGCTTCGTAGAAGTAAGTCCTAGAAGCCAGTGGCTGGGTTACTTTAGCCCTCGGGACAGCACCTGTCATTCTTGTAGAATTATACGGAAAACACTTGGGAGCCTGGGGGTGGGGACGGGAGGGAGCTGCAGAGTAAGGAGAGGAAAGACTTGCTCGGCTGTTGGTTTCAGCGCATTTTGATCATTTTCACAAACTCTTCGGTTCCTGCCTCGCCAATAAATGCTGGGAAGTCTGAGCAGAAGTTCACTGCAAGCCCCCGTCACCGGGTCCGTTCTGAGGGTCTGCTCACCTGCGTGGCGAAGGCGGGAGCGTGGGAAGGACGTTCCCTCTGGCGGCCGCTTGGCGGCAGTGTTGGCCCAGGCCGTGCACCGCCGGCCCCGCAGCCCCAGGCTTCCCCAGCCTCGCTCAGTAAGCCGCACACAGGCTCTGAGCGACCTGCGGGGGAGGTGCGTGTGTTACACGGTGTATGCGGTTATAAAGTTCTTCCCTGGACCGTCAACCCCGTGTGGTCACGGGCCATCTGTTTCACCTTTGTTCCCCTGCAACGTTTACTTCTTGGCAGGAGCTCAGTAAATATGTGTCGAATAGATGCATTTCCCCACCATCTATTTCCATGTTAAGGATTTGTTTTCTGGTGTGTCTGACTGTCTCGTTCTGGTTTGTTTGCTCCTGGTTTTGGCTGGAGCGAGTTCTAGGAGATGCCCCGGGCCCTCCTGGTAACTCGGCACTGTCTGTTTTGTAGAGGCTGAAGGATGAGATAGCAGAGGTGGCTAATGAGATTGAAAACCTGGGATCCACAGAAGAAAGGTGAGTGTGTCTGGCCCGCGCCCACGGCGCCTGAACGGAGAGCACGCTGTCCGTTCTTGGTCCCCGGCAAGCTCGCGCACCCCCTTGCGTGCTCCCCCTTCAGCGGCTCTGACGACGGGGCCTCCGCATCGCTGCAGAGAACTCCACAGGCCCTGAAGCCTGAGGCGGCCTTGCCTGACCGTGTTCACTGGCCATGCTCATGCGTTAGAGTTTCTGTCTGCCTTTTGGGCCGAGGAAGAGCTTAACGCTGCCCCGCCGTCTGCAGAGAGAAGAGCACTTGGACGGGACACGACAGCACGAGTGTTTGCGGGCTGACCACGTGAAGTGCCCGTGACCTCCAGAGTTTAGTTTTGAATGGGGTCCCCAGACCGTTGTCTAAGTCCTTAATGCGATCACCGAGCTGTTTCTAACTCACTACGCGTCTGTATTTTTCTAAGCCTAAGTCCCCTGTCTGGCTTCCTAAGACCGTTTGGCTTTGTTCTTTCAAGCGGGTGTGGGCCGTGCCGCGAGGGGAGTGAGGCCCGCGTTCTACAGAAAGCGGCCAGCTCAGCACTCGGGGCCCTGTGCACTCACTTTGGGATGACAGCCTTCTCACTTTTCTGTTCAAAAAAATTGTAGCTCTAACACAACAGGTAGATGAGAGTTTATCAAAACGTAAAGCTTGTGCCCTCAAAGGTGCCGCGACAAGAAAGGACCAGGTAAGCCACAGACCAGGAGAAAGGTTTGCAAAACGTGTATCTGAAACAGGGTTTGTTTCCAGAAGATACATGTAAAGAACGTGTACAAATCAGTAGCGAGAAGACAGCCCAGATAAGAGCGGGCCTGGGGTCCCTGGTGTTGTGAGCGCTGGTGATAGGGTGGCGTGGCCGTGGGGAGGCCCCGTGGCACTTTCTTGTAACGTGAGACCCACGCCCGTGCCATGGCTGGCAGGTCAGGACTCGGATGTTTACTCGAGGGAAATGAACGCTGCGCACAAAAAGACAGTGCGGGAGGGCTTCCCTCGTTCTTACGTCACACAGTGTGGGGGGGGGGGGCGGGGCACTGCAGGCCTGTCAGCGGGCGGAGGGACGGGCCCAGCGAGGGAACCCATGGTGAGCTCGCACCGCGTGCCTGCCCTCGCCAGGGCTGAAAAGGCTCTGCTGGTTGGGGTGATGGTCGCACAGCCTCGGAAGCTTAGGAAAAATCATTCAAAACCGCAGTGAAGATGGCTGTGTTGTGTGATGTGTACGTGCTCCCTTAATAAAGTTTCTTTAAAAATCACGTTAAGAAAACAAACACCAGTGGGGTAGAAGGAGCAAATGATGAGGGGCCAGCCAGGGCCAGGGCTCCGGCCGGCCTTCCACACTCAGACCCGCGTGTGCCCGTGCTTTCCTGGATGGCGCCTCCCGACCCCCCCGTGAAGCCAGGGTCGCTGGTGGCCGTTCAGAGCTTCCCGGCCACCCGGAGGCCTCACGGGGCCGTGCTGCCTGTCTTACAGGAAGAACATGCAGAGGAACAAGCAGGTCGCCATGGGCAGAAAGAAGTTTAACATGGACCCGAAAAAGGTGAGGGCGCTGCTGCTGGAGCCTCGGGCTCCGCGCTGGGGTCCCAGCTGCCTGCCCTTCTGCAGAGCATACATCACATGGTCTGTGCTCGGCCCTGGCTCCTCAGCGGGGCGGTGGGGTGGCGGGGAGCCCGACCCTGTTTATCAGGTACTCCCTGTGTGTCCCGAGTGCCCACCCCCACTCTCCCTCTGCCCTTCATTGGCATCTTTGTTGCCTTTTCTAGGGGATCCAGTTCTTAATAGAGAACGACCTGCTGAAGAACACCTGTGAAGACATCGCCCAGTTCCTGTATAAAGGGGAAGGGCTCAACAAGACCGCCATTGGTGACTACCTGGGCGAGAGGTGAGGCCTTGGGAGACACCCGTGGGGGGCGGGGTGGTCAGGAGTTCCAGAACGCCCGGAGCCCGGGAGGAGGGTGTTGTCCTGGGGCAGCCCTGGCCACGCCGCCGGCACGCAGAGGGTTCTTCCGGGGGACAGTGGCTGGTCCGGGGACCGAGTGCAGAAACCGCCTGGCCGGGGACAGCCTGGGGTCCCAGAGTCACTGCTTGACTTCCGCTCTTCCCTGCCCGCCCCCAATCTTTTGTTTTTGTTGATAGAGACGAGTTTAACATCCAGGTTCTTCATGCATTTGTGGAGTTACACGAGTTCACTGACCTTAACCTTGTCCAGGCGTTACGGTGAGTAAGTTTGAGGAGGGCGCCCTGGAAGGTGGGGGAGGCAGGTCTCTGATCCTGTGTCTGTTCTGTGTGGCATTTTAGTAAAAGGACGTCCTTGAGGGGGGCATGATGAATATCTTGAAGTATCTTTTTTTTTTAATTTTTCAAAAATGTTTTATTTATTTCTGAGAGAGACAGCATGAGCAGAGGAGGGTCAGAGAGAGAGGGAGACACAGTATCTGAAACAGGCTCCAGGCTCTGAGCTGTCAGCACAGAGCCTGCCGTGGGGCTCAAACCCATGAACCGTGAGATCATGACCTGAGCCAAAGATGGACATTCAACTGACTGAGCCACCCAGGTGCCCCTATCTTGAAGTACCTTAAAGGAAAGCAGCCTAAGAGCCGGTGATTGAAATGATTTGATGGATAAAGAGAATTGAACTACAGCGCGTCCTGAAAGCAAATTTGCCAAAACTTTACTCATGTCTTTTGTTTAAGAAATTTCATTGGGAAGTTGGTGAATATTTAAATTTAGAAGTTTTTTCTTTTTTAATTTTTTTTTTTGATATTTATTCATTTTTGAGAAAGAGAGCATGAGCAGGGGAGGGGCACAGAGAGACAGAGACACAGAATTCGAAGCAGCTCCAGGCTCTGAGCTGTCAGCTCTCAAGCTGTCAGCACAGAGCCTGACACGGAGCTCGAACCCACAAACTGTGAGATCATGACTGGAGCCAAAGTCGGACGCTTAACCAACTGAGCCCCCCAGGCGCCCCGTGAATTTTTTTCCTAATTTTCCTTTGTTTCCCTGCCCTAGAATAGGAAATCGGTAGTTATACACTCCAGATGCCAGCAGGTTTCCCTTTGCCCTCCGGGATTCACATCCACAGGGAGCGTTAATGGCCGTCCTTGGAGCAGTCCCCCCAAGCCCCTGCCCGGTGATGTAGCTGCCCTCTCACTCAGGCACCAGCCCAGTGACCCAGCTAACCCTCCTCCCCCAGGCAGTTCCTGTGGAGCTTCCGGCTGCCAGGAGAGGCCCAGAAGATCGACCGGATGATGGAGGCGTTCGCCCAGCGGTACTGCCAGTGCAACAGTGGCGTGTTCCAGTGCACAGGTAGGCCGGGCCCCGCCCCAGCCGCCCCAGCGCCGGCCGCCATCTCGCACAAGATCCTTTCTCGGCTCTAGACGGTTTCCAGAACGAAAGGTTCATGCCAGGAACATGGATTTAAACGTTGTTTACGATAGTAAGAATTCCAGAACGATCCAAAAGCGCAGGGAGGAGGAAAGGGGGCGGGAATGTGTGTCGTCGTGTGTGTGAGTGAGGTGCCGTGCACCTGAAAAGTCATGTGCTTCGTCTCTGTGGCCGGCCCGTTTTGTAACCAGCGGTTTGAGAAGTGGAGCCTGGGAAAGCCAGCCGGTGACACTGTGACACCGCTGTGTGGTGACAGGTGGGACAGGCAGTGCGCGCTGCCCCTGAAACTCTTAGAGCACGGTGCGTCAGCTCCGCTTCAGCGTAAGAGAAAGAATTAAAAGTAAGCGTTGTGTGTGTAAAAAGAGGTTTCTATTGACCTGAGAGAATGCTGGCGGTTAGCCAGACGGCAGGGTTCAGAACTGCGTCTGTCCGATTCCGTCTTGTCCACACCCTGAGTACATTAGTCACATGCTGTTGGTGGCACCGCGTTCGTGGAATAAAGCGACATAAGTCGTTACCAGGCGGTGGGGTTATAGGTATTTTGTGTTTTCTTTTTTACGTGCCATGTCGTGTCTCGGACTGTCCGCAGTGAGCCTGCTATCCTTTGAACCAGGAGCATAATCACCTTCAGGGCCTGAGCAGGCGCTGCCGTTTTGTGTCCCGCCCTTTGCGGTCGGCAGCGTGCAGCCGCCGGTTCAGGGGAGCCCAGGCGTGCAGACACTCTCGTTTCTTGGTGAGCGGGGCTTGTGTTCCTGCCCCCGCTGGGTGTTTCCTTGTTCCTTTGAGCAGGATGTTTCTGATCGTTTTTGGGTTTTGTTTTTGTTTTTGTTTTTTTGCTTTTCTCTTTATTTTTTTTTAATTTTTTTTTTAATGTTTTTTTTTTTTTTTTTTTATTTCTAGGAGAGAGAGAGAGACAGCGTGAGCAGGGGAGGGTCAGAGAGAGAGGGAGTCATAGACTGAAACAGGCTCCAGGCTCTGAGCTGGCAGTCAGCACAGAGCCCGACGCGGGGCTCGAACCCACGAACCGCGAGATCATGACCTAAGCGAAAGTCGGACGCTTAACCGACTAAGCCACCCAGGCGCCCCTTCTCTTTATTTTTTTTAAATTTTTAAAAATGTTTTACTTATTTTTGAGAGAAAGAGACAGCGTGAGCAGGGGAGGAGCAGAGAGAGAGGGAGACACAGAATCAGAAGCAGGCTCCAGGCTCCGAGCTGTCAGCACAGAGCCCGACGTGGGGCTCGAACCCACGAACCGTGAGATCATGCCCTGAGCTGAAGTCAGACACTTAACCGACTGAGCTCCCAGGCGCCCCGCTTTTCTCTTTAGACACTTGTTACGTCCTCTCATTTGCCATCATCATGTTGAACACCAGCCTGCACAACCCCAACGTCAAAGACAAGCCCACCGTGGAGAGGTTCATCGCCATGAATCGCGGCATCAACGACGGAGGAGACCTGCCCGAGGAGCTGCTCCGGGTGAGGGCGCTCTGCCGGGAGGTGGGGGCGGGGACAGGGCACAGACCCGCAGCCCCCGGGGCTCTCCTTGGAAAACCCACTCAAGTGTGTGAAATCCATGAAGATGCCAGCAGGGGCCCAGGGCGGGTGGGCCAGTGGTTTCTGAGCCTGGATCTCCCGTGCGAGTGAGGTCGGGCTACGTTACTTTTTTTCTTAGTTATCCACGAGGCACCTCACTTATTTCATGTCTGGGAGCTGCCCGAAGGCGGCACTGGTCGTGCTCTCCTGTCTTGGGCACCTGACAGATGCGTGGCGCGTAGCACCTGCTTGTTGCGCAAATGAAGAGAGCGGGGAGGGGGAGAGAGACCTCTGAAACCAGAGACATGCAGTGTCGTCTTTTACCCCAGAATCTGTACGAGAGCATAAAAAACGAACCCTTTAAAATCCCAGAAGACGACGGGAATGACCTCACCCACACTTTCTTCAATCCAGACCGAGAAGGCTGGCTGTTGAAACTCGGTGAGTAGCGCCCTCCAGGCCGGGACTCCCGGCGCGGAGTCCTAGGAAGGCCGCACGGGCGCCGCGGGGCTCGGGGAGGAAGCGGATGCACAGTCGGTGCCCCGTGGGATGTCGGGGTACCGCTGGGGGCGGACTCGCGCTGCGAGCGTTGCCCCCGCGGGCCTGCGCTCCACGCTTCAACTCTGGGGTTGACTGAGCAGGGTCTGTTTTGAGTCAGTTCCTGGGGGGCCTGGTCCTCCTCCTTCCTCTGCCCTCAGGGCCCCCTGGGAGGGTGGCCAGCGGTGTCACCTCTGTGGCTGCCATCACACCGATCGTGCCTGGTGCTCCCGCCTGCCCCGCCCCGGCGCATCATCACCCCCCTGCATCCGGCTCCCCACGGGCAGCGTGCATGGCAACCCCAAGCCCTTGGCTGCCGCACCACCCCGGCCACCCCCTCACTCTCGGCAGCAGTCCCCCGCCCCCGCCTCTTCGCCAAGCTGCATCAGCCACCTTAATGGTTTTGCTCATTCCGAAAGAGAATAAAGAGAAAAAAGATCCCTCTTCCCTCTGCCAGAAGTGAGGCTGTCCTGCCCGGGTGCAGGTGACAGTCCCCAGCTGGAGACGCAGTAGGGTCTGCACGACATTCGTGCCCACACGTGCTTATTTCATCAAGCGTTCCAGAACACGGGGATCCCCGGACGCAGCCACAGCAGCGTTTCGGCTCCGAGAGACCCCGCACCCCTGTTTCCTTCCGCCTCGGCCTTTTGCTACACAGGCCCCTCGTTATCAGGAGGCGTTTGTTAGAAGGACCCCCTCCCATTTCAGCCACTAGTCCCGGGGAAGTTAGAAGCCATTGCTCCCTCGCTCTGACTGACACCCCTGCAAGCCACTGAAATAGAATCTCGAGTCTCCACCTGGTCCAGGCAGCGGTGGGATTTATATTTCCCTGAAAAAGCGTATCCCAGGTCCTTGCGTTTCTCTCTCATGACTGAATTTATAAGCTCTCCTCAAAGCACGGGTCAGAGCCTTGTCCTCCCTCGAGTTAGTGAATTCTCTCAAGTGGCTCATCCCCAGAGACCACCGTCCTCCTCACTACCTTCGCTGCCAGGCGGCTCGAGCCCAGAGGAAACCCACAGGAAACTGGGAAGTACACCCAGGCCTGCATTCACTTTCCCTCCAGTGAAATTTGTTTAAATGCTCACGCCCAGAGTTGGCTCTGACAGCCCAGGCGCTAAAATTAGAACAGCGCAGAGAGGATCTTGGCTCCTGCACGGGGATGGCATGTAAATTCATGAGCCGCCCTGCGGTTTTAAAAGAAGACGTGAACGAAACGCAGGACTTGTTCCTAGGTCCTCGGATTACCTTCTCGAAACCTCCTCCAGGCCAGGAGCTGTTCACATGGCGTTTCCCTCACGGCCACGTAGACACCCCCCCGACTCCGCCCCGTGTCCCCACAGGCTGCAGAAGGCAGGGTCCCCGCGGTGGTGTGTCTGTGTCTGTGTGCGCGTACAGCCGCAAGGATGCGTGTTCTCGTGTGCACACATACGTACGTACATATCCGTGGGAACATGTGTGCATCCTTACACACGCTTTACGAAGTGGCCTCTGAGGGAAGACGCTACGCCTGTCCCCAGGCGGTTGTCCCCTCCTAGCTCTGGACTCTGGCTAGGTCACTGATACACAGTAGCTGGGTGAGAACTGACCCGCGGCACCTGCGGGGCCCCGGCTTCGGCGGTGCCCCAGCCCTTGCCTTCTCCGGCTGGTGTGTGGCGGACCGGACCGCCCCCCCGCCCCCCCCCACTCACGCCCCAGGCCGTGGCGTGTGCCCCTGCTGCTTTTAGGTCTTGGCTCCTCTAGGCAGACTCGAATGACTAATAACGTTGCACTTAAAGATTAAGGAGTTGGGTTTAATTTCTTTGTTTTAATTTTCTTTTCTCCCTCATTTGTATGTTTCCATGATTTTGGCTCTCCTTTTCCTTGCCCCAAACTCCAGGAGGTATGTAACCCCCTCCCACCCCACCCCCGCCTGCTCGCTCGCTCTGCCAAGGCCATTCTACTCGCTGCAGCGTTTTTCTTAGTTCGTTATTTTTGGTTCTTTTGTTTTTTAATTGCTGGTGGTAGTGTTAATGCTGCTTCTAACTTACTGTACAGTCCCTAGGGAACGGTCAGGCTTAGGGGGTCATGTTACCCCTTTTAGGACGAGGACATGGTGCATCAGACAGCTAGGTGCCAGGCCGTGGGATCGCGAAAACCTCACTGAATGCAGTGATGCAGGAAAACCTGCAAAGGGCGGGGCTTATAAAAGCAGAGGAAGAAGTCGCTGGAGTTTCCCTGGGAAGGACGGGCCAGGCGTGTTCTCTGTGTGTTGCATTCAAATTGACCCCCGTGAATTACCGTAATTTCTCAGGCGGAGAAGAGGCGGGAGGGGAGGAAGGTTTGCCCTCCCAGCGCCTTGTGCTTCTGACTCGTCCTGCTCAGAAAGCACGCCAGGCCAAGAAGTAAACCAGACAGCTTGGGACGTCTGTCTTTGCGTGAAACAGGGAAATGGCATCTCCTCAACTCAAAGTGATGCCAACTTTGGGGGGAGGGAAAAGACAAAAGCTAAAAGCCCCTCCGGGAAGTCCTGGAGGTTACGGGGCGGCATCACGGCCCGGCTCCCTAGTTCCCCTCCTCTCTCGCAGTGACTGTCGTCACAAACCCAGAGTTGGCCCCTGACACGCTCTTGGCATCTCCTCTCCGTTGGCCGATTTGGGGAAACGTTTTTCCTGGAGGAGGAGCCCCAGGTGCTCCGGAGCTGCTTGGGCAGGAGCCGCACGTAGAGAGAGCAGCCCCAGCGCTGACGTTCGTTAGAACCTTCCGGGGTCTGTCAGCTCTAGGGAAGATGGCGCCTGGCCTTTACGGGGGGGCGGGGGGAGGGCGTCCTGTGAGTTCCACAGGGACTGTCCCAGGTGCGCGCATTGGTCTGTCTGCTTGTTTCATGTCTGTTTCCTTCCACGTGGAGATGCTCCCCCGGGACCCCGGGGCGCGTCACGGCAGGGTCTCTGTATCCCCGCAGGTCGTCAGGGGAAACCGCCAAGCTTTCGTAATCAGGGAGGGCGTCTTCCCGGCCTCGCTTTGCCTCCTAGATTTCCTTCCACCTTCCTCCTTTTGGCATCCGACCCCCCCCTCCCATGCCCGCCCGGCCCCGAGTGCCCCGGGTGGCGGTCCTGTGGGGAAGCGCGTGGGAGTCCGCATGGGCGAGGTGTCCTGTGTGCAGAGCCCTGCGCGGGGATGACGGCCCGAGAGGCAGAAGAGCCTGTGTCTCAGGCTCTGAAGTGGAGGAGGGGGTTCCTCTTTCATAACGTTCAGCTCCCATCCTGCGTTCCTTGTCTTCTCTCTCCTCCTCATTTGTTTTGACGCTGCCCAGCCTTTCCCACATTCCACATGCATGTCCTATTTTCATCTCTGGTTTTCCTTCTCGATTCATGCCCTAGGGCCTTAGGGACCGGAGGCCCGTGCTCCCCTGCGCTGGCAGACGGTGCGGGGGTCAGTCCCCGCTTGGTGCTAGCCCAGGGCCTCCATGGGCGGGCAGCGTGTGTGCACTGACGGCCGAGCCCCCGTAAGCTGGGTCTGTGCTGTTTAGAACCGTGGCACCTGGGGATCGTGCCCTTAACCCCCCCGGGGCTCCAGGCCCCACACAGAGCCAGAAAGAGACCGAAAAGCCCAGCAGCCCCTTCCTTCCGCTTGATGCTGGGACTGGTGCTGGCGCTCCATTTCCGTGACCTCACGTGCCGTGCTGTCGGGAGACCCGGGGTGGGCATGTGGACACGCCCTGGCGGCACAGCCTGTATGAGCCCTCTGCCCGTTGCTCAGCTGCCTGTGACGGGGGCACGAGAGCCCTGCACCCCACAGGCCTCCGTGAGGATTGGGGGGGGGGCGCGATGCTTTCTGTAGGGCAGATCTCAGCAAGGACACACGCTGCCCGGGCAGCAGGAGGTGCTTCTAAAATGACACCCGTGTCACAGCACGAGAAGGCCTTTGCGTAACTCGTGTGTGATTCGTGTCCAGAAAGCTGCCCCTTGTCCCGATGTGAGCAGGGGAGGGACCAGGATGGGCTCATGGCCGTCGGGGGGTGGGGGGGAAGGGGCAGACGCGGCTTTGCTGAAACTGCTCGCAGCTAAGCCTCCTTCCCGAGCGTCCCCCTCAGTATAGGATGGCAGCCCCCCACCTTCTGCTGTCACACATCGCGTAGGGGGAAGGGGCCCTTCGGTGCTCGCGGCCACTGCTCTTAGTGCCCGTCTGGCCGGCGACCCCTCCTCCAGCTCGTTGTGTCCAGAGCCGCAGGTGAGAGGTCCAGGCCCTGCCCCGTCCAGGACTCCGGGGAAATGCCGTTCAGAGGACACCTGTCCAGAAGCCCGAAAGCCAGTGTAGAAATTCACCCTAATCCAGAAGGTGGGGTAGAGAGTGGAATGACAGGAACCAGGAAGGCTTCAGATTTGAGTGTGAAGAGGTTAATACACCTTAGTCCCTTTTGCCCCTTCTGTCCGATTCTGATGAGCCCGCCCACGTGTCCCCTGGGCCGGGTGCCCTGGCCGTGTAGTTCGGGCCGGGGCCGACCCTCTCCGCCGTTCCTGTTCCCACCACACCCCTAGGCTTCTGCCGGTGCATCCCCAGCCCAGTCAGACCGTCAGGCTTGCACCGCGTGTCCTCCTCGCCCGGGCACTCCCCCTGAAGCCACACGCTGTCATCTCACCGTCCTGAGCTCACCCCCGGGCGCCACCTGACCCCGGGCACTCCCCCCGAAGCCACACTCTCATCCCACCGTGCTGAGCTCACCCCCGGGCGCCACCTGACCCCGGGCACTCCCCCCGAAGCCACACTCTCATCCCACCATCCTGAGCTCACCCCCGGGCGCCACCTGACCCCGGGCACTCCCCCCGAAGCCACACTCTCATCCCACCATCCTGAGCTCACCCCCGGGCGCCACCTGACCCCGGGCACTCCCCCCGAAGCCACACTCTCATCCCACCGTGCTGAGCTCACCCCCGGGCGCCACCTGACCCCGGGCACTCCCCCCGAAGCCACACTCTCATCCCACCGTGCTGAGCTCACCCCCGGGCGCCACCTGACCCCGGGCACTCCCCCCGAAGCCACACTCTCATCCCACCGTGCTGAGCTCACCCCCGGGGGCCACCTGACCCGCTTGCTCTGCTTGTCCCCGCGGACTTTCACTCTGTGAAAGGCGCTTCTGTCCTGGCTCTGTGTCTTGTTACCGATGTGAACTCTGCCATGGTCTCCGTGTGCTGCGGTGCCTGCCCCTCGCTTCCGCCCCCTCGTGCTGTTCGCGGGGGGAGTCCGTGCGCTGCGGAGCCCGCGCGGCCCGCCAGCCTCCGTGGGACACACGTCTGTCTTTGCAGGTGGCAGGGTCAAGACGTGGAAGAGGCGCTGGTTTATTCTGACCGACAACTGCCTTTACTACTTTGAATACACGACGGTGAGCGTCTGCTGGTGCGCCGGGGGGGGCTCCGTGTCCCCTCCGCTCCAGGCAGATGTCGGTGGAGGGGGCCGTGGGAGGGGGGAAGGGGACCTGAGGTGAACAGGAAGAGCCAGGACGGACCCCAGAGTCGGGGGGGGGCGAAGATGACATGGGCGTCTTGCCCAGGGAGGCGTGGCTGGGAGCCCACACGCGGCTCTGGATGGGGCATGAGAAGCCCAGAGGGGAAGGCCTGACGGGACAGGTGGCGTCAGAAATGGGGTTCAGAGCCAGGTTCAAGAGCACGAACTGGGGTCAGGTGCCAGGGAAGAGCTTGTGGCCTCTTTGAAAGGGGAGATGGAGAAAATCGTGATGAGGAGAATTCACATTTTCTGGTTTGGGGAGAAGCAGTCCAGGGGGTGAAAGGCCTAATAAGGGGGAAAGGAGGGGAGTGGGCCGGGGAAGCTGGAAATCACTGGGGGCTCCAGCTGAAGTTTTCCTGAGCTGTGGGGGTTCTGTTGGGCTTCAGCAGGAGTGGAATAACTGCAAATATGTGGTACGTGTAAGTCTCTTAACGTTTAGTTTTGAGGGGCGCCTGGGTGGCTCAGCCGGTTACGCGTCCGACTTTGGCTCAGGTCAGGATCTCACGGTTCGTGGGTTCGAGTCCCACATCAGGTTCTGTGCTGACAGCTCAGAGCCTGGAACCTGTTTCTCTCTGACCCTCCCCTGCTTTTGCTCTGTCTCTCTCTATCAGAAATAAATAAAAAAACATTAAAAATTTTATTTAAAAATGCTTAGTTTTGAGAGGCCCCCCGCCCCGCCGAGGGCTCTGGCCACAGTCTGTCTTTCAGCCTCCCCTGGGCGTCCTCGCAGAGGCCTCTGGTCACAGGGGCTCCCATACCCATCCGTTTCTGACCCTGGTCTGATTCTAGAATGCAGGGTGTGGGCCCTAGAGCTGATCTGTGAGCCTGAGGTGGCAGGGGTGGGGGTCGTGGGTGAGGAACGCTGGCGGAGCAGGCGGCTCCCGGTGCCAGCAGTGAGGGCTTTCTGTCTCCACTGTCCTGTAGGATAAGGAGCCCCGGGGGATTATCCCGTTAGAGAATCTGAGTATCCGGGAGGTGGAAGACTCCAAAAAACCAGTGAGTATTGGGGGGCTGGGGGCAAAAGTGATGGGCGTAGCCGTTCTTTGGAAAAGACCGAAATCGCAGAGATCCCCTGAAAACTGAAAAGTAGCGTCGTGCCTCCAGTGTAGCCTCACTTTAAACTTCCCTTTTGTGTTCAGGCCAAAGGCGAGGCCCTAGGTGACCTCTTCGTTCTGTCCACGTGGCTTAGTGTCACCTGCTGACTGTCACACAAGGGATGGAATTGTCCCTCCTTAAAAGGCAGTGTCAATCTGCACACTAACAGACCCCTCTCATTTGGAATCCGGCGGTGCTGTGGGGGGGAGGGGTGGTAAACAGCATCCGTGTGGCCCACAGTTCTCCGTGCTTCCGGTGGGCGGAGAGGGGGGAGCGGTCGTGTGCGTATCTGGCTGGTATGTTCTCTCGTTGGGCCTGCTGATACGCAGCCTGCATCCTCCAGATTTCCACTTCCGGGCTCCTCTTCCCCATTGGAGAATCCTATCGCCTGTGTTTACGGAGGTCGGAACGAAGAGTCTCCCGAGCAGTCGACTCGCGTCGTCTTCGTCCTGCTTGGCAGCTCTCTCTGACCTTGTCGCTCTACCCCTCTCTTTCCTGATTCCCAGAACTGCTTCGAGCTTTACATCCCCGACAACAAAGACCAGGTGATCAAGGCCTGTAAGACGGAGGCTGACGGGCGGGTGGTGGAGGGGAACCACACCGTGTACCGCATCTCCGCCCCGACGCCGGAAGAGAAGGAAGAGTGGATTAAATGCATCAAGTAGGTGCATCTGAAACATAGGCCTGCTTTCCCTTGACAGGGGCTCTCACTTGTCTCAGACACTTTTTTTTTAATTTAATTTAATTTAATTTAATTTGGGGGGGGCAGAGAGAGAGAGAGAGAGAGCAAGAATCTTAAGCAGGCTCCATGCTCAGCGAGGAGCCCGCGACCCTGGGATCATGACCCGAGCCGAGGCCAAGAGTGCACACTTGGGCGGCTGAGCCCCCCAGGCGCCCCCCTCAGGTACCTCATCATCCCAGCTGCCGCCGGCTCTCTCCTCCCCTGTGGTAGACCCGGAATTCCCAGATGACTTCCCAGTGGGTCTTCAGATGCCTGACCACGGCAGCGTGTTTAAGAGAGTAGGCTTCCCTACGGGCACGTCGTAGACCCAAGGAGGGGCGGTGGCCAGGCCACAGGCACGGGTGCCGTTTGCCCAGCTGTCCGCGTTGGGGGAAGCAGGGCCCGTCCCCAGGACGGCAGCTCGGCGGAGATCAAAGTCCTCGTGTTTCCTGGTTTCTTAATCCCGGTGGTACTGTTGCCCCGTTCACAGGTGAGGAAGCTGAGGACCACGGCAGTCACGGAACGTGCCCAGGTCACGAGACAGCCTCGCACCGTTCACGGCGGTGCTGTGGGAGGGAAGAGGGCTCTCGGGGTGTCGGGGGTACAGACTGCAGCGGGCTGCGGGCGGGGCCGTCCTGACGCCGCGAGCCTCCCCCTCCCGCCGTGGGGCCTGTGCAGAGGCCGCGGTGCCCCGTGTGTGCGGCAAGGCGCTCCTATCTGAGGGCGCGTCCTTGCTCTCCCCGTCGGTGCTCGGTCCGCACGACGTCACCAGCCCTTTCCTTCCTCTGCCTGCCACTGGGCTTCGTGACCCCCCCACAGAGTCTGGGGTGGGGGGGTGGCCCTGACCAGCTGCTCTGAGGCCCTGCCGCCCTGCACGGCCCCTGTGATGGCGCCCTCCGCCCGGGCCACGGCCTGCTCCTGAGCGGGGAGCCCTGTAGTTCAGAGTCCGTTCCGGTGTCGCCGCTGCAGCGGGTGCGGGCCCGGCCAGGGTCAGACAGCAGACAGCGGGTGAAGCCAGCGCAGGGGGTGGACTCTGGCGGTGCACGGCGGGCTCCCCGGGCACCCGGCACGCCTCCCGCCCCTTTGGTGTGATGGGGAGGACCCCGGGGACACTTCAGGGTGACACTGGGTCATGTGTGGGCGTGCCCAGCCTCCCCGGGCCCTGCTGCCTTCCTCCCCACTCGATGTGCGGCATCGGCAGGGCCCCATCGACCCTCCCCCGGTGGACGAGGCTCCAGGGCCCCTGTGGACCCTCAGTCGTCACTACCAGTAACGAGACGAAGGCCTCCACTTGCGAGCACCGGGTGACCCAGGGACACACTCTGCCCAGATGATACCCGTGCAACCACTAGTACGCGGGGTGTCAGCCAGCTGGAGTGTAAATAAACACTTAGAAGCTGTCCAGTGAGGTCTGGGCACAGGAGTGGCCGTGCCCTGGGCGTCCTGGCCGGCAGGTGGCCCCCCTCCACGTAGCCCACACTGTTCTTACCGCGTGTCTCATAAAAACCGTTTAATTCTTGAATCCTTATGAAACTTACTTTTAGTATGTGGTCCGAAGCGAGGGATGGAACTTACTCTCTCGGGTGACCAGCCGGCTGTCCCGAGAGCTGCCTCACTGCTGCCGCGCCCCCACAGTTTTCCCACGCTCCCGTGCGCACGCGGCTTCCAGGGCCATGGGCCCCTGTATGGTCACGTGGTTGCTCATGGCCATCCCCTCGCGCCGTTCCTTGGCTGTGCCTGTCAGAGGCTGCGCTGCAGCTAGGAGGGCGGGGCGCCCTGCAGGGTCAGGTCCTTGGTCGTTCCGTCCTGGGGGGGGGGGGGGGGGGGGGGGGGGGGGGGGGGGGGCGCGTGGGCCGCCCGGTCCCGGTGCTGCGCACACATTGTCCGTGTGCTCCGGGTGGCACAGCCGTCCCCTTACACACCAGGCCGCCAAGCGCAGCGAGGCGAATTCAGTTGTCTGGAGCCCCGGGCGTGGTCGGTCCTCAGACTGAGCCCTGTGACTCCACAGCAGCCGCACCCTGCGCTCCCGACCCTTTAACTGGTCCCGTTAACTGGCCCTCGGGACACGTGCCAGGGACCGCCGGTTCCGGGCGTCCCCCAGGAGCTGCAGAGATGCTCCTCAGGGACACGTCACCTCTGGTGACCAGGCGGCAGGCAGCCTGCGGAGCGGTCACTTCCCCGGTCGGGCGCAGAGCCAGCGCAGAACGCGCTCAGCTCTTGGACAGCTTCAGGGCACCCGCGCCACAGCCTGGCTGAAAGTTGAGGGTGACGGTGATGCTGTCCCCGTCCTGCGCAGTGTCTCCGGGGCAGGGCCAGGAAGCACTGGGGCCCCCTCGTGTCCGGGCTGTGCACACACAGGCCTGCGGCCGCTCCCTGAGAGCCCAGCGGCGGCCTGGCCTGCACAGGTGTGGGGCGGCTGCCGCGCTGGGGTGCACAGCACAGGCGCTCTGCCGCAGGCGGGCGGGGCTGTGTGGCGCCCACGGTCACTGTGGGCCGGAGGGCAGTGCTGTGCACATGTGACGTGCGGTCCGAAACCCACACCCACTCTTAGTAGAAGCAGGTAGAAGCAGGCAGCACGCACTCCAGAGCGGGCTTGTCATGCGTTCCCTGGGTCTGTCCCCAAGCTTGTGTCCCTTCAGGCCTGTGGACACAGTGAAGGTCGATACCCCTGACTTGGCCTTCGCAGCGACAGTCGAGCGGGGCAGGGGGCGCAGGTGCTGCAGCAGAAGCCCCAGCCTGGGGTCCTCTCCCTGGGGCCCGTTCTCATCGTTTCTCTCTTGTCCCCTCTCTGTGTCCAGAGCGGCCATCAGCAGGGACCCTTTCTATGAGATGCTGGCGGCGCGGAAGAAGAAGGTGTCCTCCACGAAAAGACACTGAGTCTGCACCGCGAGCGGCCCCGGCGTGTGAGGCGTGCGAGGCCCTGGGCTCTCTCTCCCGCCCCCCACGGCCGGGGGCGGCTGCCGAGCAGGGGTGTCACCGCAGGGCGTCACCCCAAATCCCTAGAGACTGGCCTCAGCGCTCGCTACGTGTCTTCGAGTGGGAGGAGGGAGGCGTGGCCCTGGGGCCAGGACCGCACGTGTGTCCAGCGCCAGAGCCCCGTGGGCACAGCGGCCTCCTCGCAGGCCTCCCGTGCAGCAGGTCTCATAGCAGAGCTCGAAGCCAACTGTTTACCTCTTGGTTATTCCCCTGTGAAGAAGCCTTCAACCCTGCACCGTAAATACACGTATCGATATATTATTATATGTTAGAAAAAACAGTGGAACGGAAGAGAAGCCACGTATTATAAAGATATATTTTTGTTTTTTAAAAGAAAGAAAAAGATAAAGTAGAGCCGTTCCGCGGCGTTCGGCCCAGTGTGGCGTGGGGGCCTCTCCTGGGGCGGCGGGTCCCCAAGTGCGGCTGGGGGCAGGCGCTGGCACCGCGAGGGCGACGACCCGGCCAGGACCCCGGGCCCCGTGGCCTGCGTCTTCGGTCTAAGTGCTAGGGGCCGCCGGGGGAGGAGAGGGTCCCGGCCACTCGTCTTCTCTCTCCGAATCCTTCCTGTTGGGCTTTAAGATGCAAGGTCAGCGTTTTCCCTTGAGCTAAATACCAGGAACCAGAACCGTGAGGAAGGGAACCCCAGCGAGGGTCCGGGCTGACCTGCTTCCCACCTGGTGGCCCCCCCCCCGCGCCGCCCCGAGCCTCCGTCCCGTCCTCGTTTTAGAGGAAGGGGGTCTCACCCGATCACCTTATGTCTTCGGCTTTCTCTGCCTCAAAACCGGCCCTGCCCTGGGCCACCCCAGGCGCAATTGGGGGAGGGGGTAGAGGGAAAGGGGCCGGGGCAGGCGGGGGGTGACAGGCTGGCCTCATGTCCTTTTCTCCCCTAAACCCGAGTCGGCCGCGCGCCTCCTGAGCTGCGTGTAAAGGAGCCACGGAAGGCAGGTGTCCTGCCGTTCTCTCAGGGACCCTCGGGGCCGCTCCCGCCGCTCGTCATCCCCGCGCCCCCCACGCGGCCGGGGACCGGGCCCGCACACGCTGCCTCGCGGGAGAGGGCGAGGCGCTGGCAGCCGCCTCGGGCTGCGCCACCCAGCTCTGCCGGCGCCGTGAGGACAGGCTGGCATCTCTGGAAATCGCTTCTGTTAAAGGGCATGAAGGGGTTGCCAGGGGGGACTCTCTGGGGACCCCCGCTGCACACAGGTCCTACCCGGGCTCGTGAAGGCAGCGGCTGGGTGTCCAAGTACTGCGGAGAGGCACCCGCGTCAGTATTCGTCTATTTATCAGAGGTGTAAATAATCCATGTATAGTTTTTCTCCTTTTAGATTATTTTGTATTTGTTTAAAAAAAAAAAGGTTTTGTCAGAATATAAAATATAAAGAAATGACTGAAAGTTGTTGACAGGGTTTTAAAAAAATTATAATTATTATTCCAATTGTTTTTCGGGGTTTTTTTTGTTTATTTTGCATTGTAAACTAGCGCCAAGGAACTGCAGCAAATAAACTCGACATCTGCCCAGAGCAGCTGTGCCGTGTGCGGCCTCCTTTCTTCCCCGGTGACCGTGGGCAGGGGGCCGTGCCCGGCGGGTGCACCCGTGGCCTCGGCCGTGTGTCTGTCCCTCTGACACCTGTGCGGTCAGGGAGGTGCTGTCTTGCCTTCAGCAGACCCCTTCTTGCCCCCGTTTGTCGCAGAGAAACAAGTGACAAACCTCCCACTTCAAGCTGAGATCGGGAAACGTGCCTTCGGCTGGTGGAATGTGCGTTTCGTATTCCGTTTCCAGACGTGCCCACCCGGAGCTTGGGGACGGGTCGCAGTGGGCCGCGGGGGGTCCTGGAGGGCGGGCGAGCCCGGGCCTGCCCCCTTCACCCCCTCAGCGCTCCCTTCCCCGACAGCAGCGCCTCCCCGTTCTGGCTTCTCGCGGGCTTGGGGCGCTCAGCCTGCGGGCCTTCGCGGTCTCCTAGCCCCGCGCCACGGGCCTCTGCGCCGGCCTCGGGGACACCAGCGTTCCTTTGCTCGCTCGCAGCCAGCGCTGCCCTCTCCCCCGTCCTCGCTGGGTGCCTGCAGGGTGTCTCGTGGGCCGTCCGTCGCCCGCCTGGCGCCCCGTCGGGCACCCTCCTTCCCACGTGGGAGCCCTTCCTGCCCCCTGGACATCCTACCCCCCGGAGACCCCGGCCCCAGCACCCCGGCCCCAGCACCCCGGACACCCCATCACCATCCGTGCTACACGGACCCTCTATTTGGGGGGGAGCGGGGAGAGAGAGAATCCCCAGCAGGCTGGCACCCACGATCCGTGGGCTCATGACCTGAGCCGAGATCAAGAGTTGGACGGTTAACCAACTGAGCCCCCCAGGCGCCCCACACTTTTCCGTGGTCCCACTGAATGTAAATCTTCCAGGCAGGGCCCCAGAGCCTTCCTGGCTCCGTGCTCATGAAACACGCGGGGAAGGAGGGTCCGCACGGCCCTGCCCACGGACAACCTCGAGATCCGCGCCAGAGGCCCCCCGGGCGGGGCTCCTCCATCGCTGGCCGGTTTGGGGGCCGGCCTCCCCCTAGGCCTTCATCTCCAAGGGCCCTGGCTCCCGGGGTAGTGAGGACGTCCGGATCCCGGCACCCAGCCCCCGCCCCCCCAACTTGGCTGAGCCTGGGGGCGCCGAGCCTTCTGCCAGCCTCTCTCTGAAAAGCCGCCAGGACCCCGTGAATGCGGGGGCTCCGCCCTGCCTGCTTCTGTCCGGTGGGGTTGAGGGGGGACCCCGAGCAGAGCGGACCCGGGGTCTGTTTCGCTCTCCACCTTGGTTGCCAGGAAGCTCAGGGTCAGGGGCACGCCCCTTCACGTGACTCAGTCCTGTGTTTTTTACTTACCCTGCTTCTTTCTTTTATTTTTTTAATTTTTTTAAATTTTTTTTATGTCTTTATTTTATTTTGAGAGACAGATACAGAGAGCGAGCAGGGAAGGGGCAGAGAGAGAGAGAGAAAGGGAGACACAGAATCTGAAACAGGCTCCAGGCTCTGAGCTGCCAGCATAGAGCCCGACGCGGGGCTCGAACCCACGAACCGTGAGATCTGACCTGAGCCGAAGTTGGATGCTTAACCGACTGAGCCCCCCAGGCGCCCCGCTTCTTACTTTTATTAATAGACTTTACTTTTTAGAGCAGTTTTAGGACTGCAGTAGTGCGGGAAGGTACGGAGATCTGCCATCGGCCCCCTGCCCCCACCGTCGGCATCCGCGCCGGAGGGTCCGCGTGCCACGACTGGGGGGCTCCACGGCCCCGTCAGCGACCCCCAGACCCGCAGTGCACACGGCTTCCTCTCGCCATCGTTCCCTTGTGACATTGGACACACATGAGCTGTAGCCATCGTGACAGTATCACCCGGAAGACATTCGCTGCCCTGGACGTGCTCCCCACTGCACCCGTTCACCCCCCTCCCCTCTGCACCCGTTCATCCCCCACCTCTGCACCCATTCATCCCCCACCTCTGCTGGCCCCCAGCAACCACTGACCTTCCTGATGTCTCTGTAGCTCTGCCTTTTCCAGAAGGTCATGGAGTTGGAATCAGTGTACAGCCTGTACTTTCCCTTTGGTCACATTTGACCCTCTATCCTATTTTATTATTATCATAACATCAATCTGAATTTATAAGCTTCTCCATCTTTTTTTTAAGCAGAAATTTATGGGGTCACCTGGGTGGCTCAGTTGGTTGAACATCTGATGTGAATTCATCTCAAGTCACGGTCTCGTGGTCCTGAGATTGAGCCCCACGTCAGGCTCCGAGCTGAAAGTGCAGAGCCTACTTGGATTCTCTCCTGTCTCTGCCCCTCCTCTGCTTGTGCTTGTTCTCTCTCTCTCCTCTCTCTCTCTTTCCCACACACACACACACACACACACACACACACACAATAAATAAACTTTAAGAAATGATACGATTCTGAGAACTGAAGGCGGAGCACTCTCCAAGGACCATCCACTGACAGGATGTGGCGCGGGCGGCACGGGCCCCCGGGGAGCACTTCCCTCGCCGCGCCCGGGGCTGCTCCCGGTGGCCGTCGCTGGCACGGCCGACCCCAGCGTCGCGCACGGGGCGCCGCCTCACTGGAGGGGCCCCGCTGCCCGCGTGCTCGGCAGGGTGAGCGGGACGCGTGCCCAGAACCCGCGCGCGTCCGCCCAGCTCGCCAGCCGGCAGCGGGAAGGGGCCACTGGGAACCAGGCAGGCGTCGGACGGGCCGCCCGGCCGTGGGGACGCAGCCCTCCTTTCCTCAGACACGTGCGGGTGCATGGTGCCACCAGCCCCGCCAGAGCGAGGCGGCCGCCGACAGCGTCCTTTCTCTTCGGCGCTTGAGCTAGTCTGTCCCCGAGGCTCCACGGCACCTGTGGGGAGACTTGCTAATCCCCTTACCTTCTAGGAATCGGATGGATCCTCTTCTGTTTGCCGAATGAGGTAGAGACGCCACTCGCTGACCAGAACTTTGATCTGGATAAATCAGCCCCCCTCCCCTCGATCATGACGCGTCTCTTCTTGGGGGGTAGCAGGAAGTGCCCGTCTGCCGAGACCTGTGTGCCCCCATCGCTCAGGAACCCTGAGGGAAGCGGTTCTAATTGTCTGTGGGCCCCAGGCCCCTCCGCGAAGCTAACGTGAGCTACAGAGCGTCTCCACGGAAAATGACACGGAAAACCCGAAGTGATCGGCAGAATCCCCGTCCTGAGCCCCTCCGTGGGCTCCCGATGGAATAGCCCTGGACCAGGCTGCCCACGCTTTCCGTAGCTCACGGGGCCCCTCACGGGATGGGAAACTGGGAGGCTGTGTTTCCGTCCACACAGTTCGCCTGTTCGCTCCGTGTCTGTCAGTACGATGGTTAAACCAAACAATGGCGGTAAATCAACTTTGCGTCTCTGGGGTAAAGCCCTCTTGGTCATGGGGTTTTGTTTATTTGGGTTTTTTTTTTTTAAGTTTATTTTGAGAGAGGAGAGAGAGACATGCGGGGAGGGACAGAGAGACGAGATAATCCCAAGCAGACTCCATGCTGTCAGCGCAGAGCCCCATGTGGGGCTTGATCTAAAGAACCATGAGATCGTGACCTGAGCCAAGATCAACAGTCAGACGCTCAACAGACTGAGCCACCCAGGTTTTTTTTTTTTAATGTTTAGTTATTTTCGAGAGAGAGAGAGAGAGAGAGTGTGTGTGTGTGACCAGGGGAGGGGCAGAGAGGGAGAGAGAGGGAGACACAGAATCTGAATGAAAACAGCCTCCAGGCTCCAAGCTGTCAGCACAGAGCCCAACATGGGACTCGAACTCACGAACTGTGAGATCATGACCTGAGCTGAAGTCGGACGCTTAACCACTTATCTGACTAAGCCACTCAGGCGCCCCCCATTGTGAGTTTTTAAAAATATGTTGCTGGATGGGGCGTCTGAGGCTCGGTCGGTTAATAAGCATCCTGTACCCCAGTTGTGGCCGACAGGGGCTGGTCATGAATCACAAGACCCCTGTCCCAGCATCATGGCTCTGAATGAAGCATCCAGACACTGAGGACAGGATGCCAGACATTTGTAACAAAAGATGCCCCCTCCCCCGCTCTTACCACTCAGGAACTCGCAAGGGCATTGGGAGCTGTGAGCCAGGAACCTCAAAGACCAAATATACGCACGTTGCTTGCACTGCACAGGATTGCAGTGGTGCGGTGAGCGAGCAGGTATTAGACCAGCCTTGCGTGTCTTCCGACTTCACGTTGGACTTCCCTTTTCCTGGCGGGGGTTCTGCCTCGCGCTGCGTCTTCACCCCGAATCCGCAGCGCTCCCCAGCTGCACTCGTGGTGGAGTTTGAAGCCGATTTCTCTCTGGGCAGGTGACCTGAGGTTGGGCTTCCCCTCGGTCTCCTAGGATCCCAGAAGGTGCACGTCCCAGCTACGCTGCTGCCCATCTGCTCCCAGGAGGGGATGTTTGGGGACGTTTCGGATTCTACCCAGACAGTCTTAGTGTTTCCCCTGCGTTCTCACCTGTTCATTCCCAGCTGCAGTCCAGGAAGCAGTTGTGCAGGCTGGATGTTAGTGGGTGTTAGGGGACAGGGTGGTCCCGCTGTCCCCTACCCCTGGGCAGGGCTGGGTTGAGCAAAGCCAGCTCTCTGTTCGGGGCCTCAGGTATCGGGAAATGTCGTGCCCGTGTCCAAAACTCAGCTCCTGCTTTTTAAAAAAATATTTGTTTATTTTATTTTAGAGAGAGTGGGGGAGGAGGGGCGGAGAGGGAGGGAGAGAGAATCTCAAGCAGGTTCCGCGGTGTCAGCACAGAGCCCAACTCAGGGCTCAAACCCACGAAATCATAACCTGAGTCAAAATCCAGAGTCGGACAATCCTGAGACTGAGCCCCCCAGGCAGCCCCCTCAGCACCTATTTTT